TGTCTCAATGACCAACCTCCCAAATGAGGCAGAGGGGATACTGCAGGGATGCAGTGGTCTCTAAGATGTCCTTAAAATTCCAAGATTTCTTGATTTGGGGTAGGGCAGAAATCATCCTCAGGCCTGAGTATCATTGATAAACTTGGTAACTAATAAATGCTTTGCAAATCAACAGGCCAGTATTGGATAACAGCTCTTTACATGTTATATTAAAAAACAGTTCACTACTCCCATTTCCCCACATTTTAACTCAAACATTAGATTGTTACTCTAGGATTTTCCACCTCCTTGTTTATGCTGTTTTTGCTTCGTGCAATGCTTTCCTCCAACTCCACATGACCAAGTATTTCAAGGCTTGATTCAAATGTTAGTTGCTGAATTTATTCTTCCTTGAACATTTCCCATCTCTCTCTTTCTCTCACACTCACTCTCCCTATCTACTACTACAAACTATTTTTTAGAACTTATGACTGTTTACCTTCTAGCTTAGTCATTTCTCTATAGAGCTTGTCTCTCCTACTGCACTGTAAGGGACTTGAGGACAGAATATATGTTTGATTCATTTTCTCAATAGCAATATTCATCATAATACTAAACACATAGTAGTTACCCAATAATTCTTAAATAAATAAATAGATGGTTCTAATATTTATACGATTTCAGAGAAAGTGAGCATCAGTATGAGCTAGAGCTGTCATGGAAGACTTTATAGATATGTTGGGATTTAACCCAGATTTTATGGATAGTATGATTTAGAGGAGCTGTGGGGTTCATTGCAGGGCTGTGGCGGGGTTAATAGACAAGTGGGGTCATGAATCAATCCATATGCTGACGTGTTTTTCACTTAAATCTCCCCAAACAATAAGGCCCTTACAGATAAGCACATCATAGCCAAGAACAGAAGAGCCACGGAACAGCTGCTGTCAACCCTCAGAAGGCTAGAGGTACAGCTCACTTAAAATCTGGGATTCTGGGATGACCTCAGGTCACCTGAGACATCCCATCCCGAGCATCTGGCAGGGTCACCACAAGGCCCTCCAGCATGAGCACTCTCCAGGCTATCCTTACTGAGCTGTGACAGCTCCCTGTGCTGGAACCCCAACCCATCCCTTCAGGTTCCCAGCAATGAAAATGCTCAACAAGGGCTTTGCTGGAGAGAAGGTCCTAGGCTGCCTGATGCAGTGGGTGTGGCAGTGAGCTGGACTCCGCAAGTCCCCTCACACTGGGTGACAGACAGCAGGCTTCGCCCGATAGCGGGGCACAGGCAGTGGGGACCACAAAAGGAGCCAGGACCTCTTGATTACAATCCCAGCTCTTCCCTAAATGGTTTTTCCCTTTCAGGGGCATCTGAGGTGCTGTCTCTAAAGTCACATTTATTAAGCTGTTGGGAACAGAAGCCTCTTCTCTGTTTTGTGAGAGCAGAAGATGGACTCACGAGAATACTCACCCTGGAAGGGGCACAGAAGCCAGAGGGGTTTCTTCAGGAAAGAAGGTGAGGAGCTGTGCGGACCCAGTTATCCACCCAGAAAGCAAGTAAGTAGCTATATATTAGAAATGACAGGAGAACAAGCTAATATCCTCTCTGCCATGGGGCTGTTTTTCCTGCAGTGTTATCCTTTGGGGGACTCAGAAATTAGCCCTCCCAGGAGAGCAGAGTAGTGTGGGGAGAAAGAGATGCAAAGTGAAGCCTCTCAAGCCCTTCACGCAGTTGGTGATCACGTCTCACGTTTTCTGGTATTTTGACCTCACAGAAGGCTTCATCTCTGGTGCTGGCTTTCTGGGCAGGTGGTTAGGACAGGTGAGGCAGCTCCATGCCCGGCCAATTTTTTCTCTCTATATATTTAGTTGTCCAGATCATTTCTTTCTTGTTTTCAGTAGAGACAGGGTCTCGCTCTTGCTCAGGCTGGTCTCGAACTCCTGACTTTGAGCAATCCACCCGCCTCGGCCTCCCAGAGTGCTGGGATTACAGGCGTGAGCGCCCGCAACTTGTGTTTTGACAATCTCAAACATACACCAAAGTAGAAGGAATGGTATAATGAACCCCCATTAATCATAACCCAGCTTAAACAAGTATTAATATATTGCCAAATTTGTTTTATCTATACCTCCCCAAACCCTACCTATTACTGGTCATTTTTTTTACATCTCCGTAAGGCATAGTTTACATTTCATATTGTTCACCCATTGTAAATATACAAACCAATAATTTTAAATAAATTTGTAGAACTGTGCTATTGCCACGATCCAGTTTTTACTATTTCCCAACAAACTCCCTACTGACCAATTCAAGGCAATCCCTACCTTTGGGCCCAGACATCCGCTGATCTGCTCTCTGTCTCTGTAAGTTTTGCCTTTTCTGGACATTTTGTATAAATAGAATTGCACATTTTTTCATTTAGCATGCAGTTTGGGAGGTGTATCCAAATTAGCCGGGCATGGTGGCGCATGCCTGTAGTCCCAGCTTCTTGGGAGGCTGAGGCAGGAGGATCGCTTGAGCCCAGGAGTTTGAGATGGCTGTGAGCTAGGCCTACACCACGGCACTCTAGCCCGGGCAACAGAGCCAGACTCTGTCTCAAAAAAAAAAACACAAGTTGCAAAATAAATAAAAACAAAGCAGTCCCACCTTTATGATTAAATGATGTATTTTCTTTCCATGAGACTATTGTTCAGTGGAATACACTTTGGAAAAGGCTGACCTAGAACAACAGAGTCATTTTACAGATGGGAAAATTGAGTTCTAGAGGTATAATGTAAGTGCCCCTTCGATGATTTTACAGCTAGATGCCAATCAAACCTTCAGGGATCTGGCCGGAAGGCGGAGGGAGGAGGGCACTAAGCCTAGTAGTTTTCGTTAGGATTCCTGACCTCACTCTCCGATGACCCCCCTTAGTCCTCCACTGTAAGCACCAGAAGAAGTGCGGCCCTGAGTCCATCGCGCAAGCGCAATGGCGCAGAGCGGCCACAAACCACGCCCCGCAAGCCCGGCGGCTGTCGGCACCCGCCCTGACCCACAGTGCGCACGCGCAGCGGCGGGGGGGGCGTGGCAACGCGAGCAGCTCTTCTTAGGGCTTAAGTTCTCTGAGCGCAGCAGCGATTTAGAATTTGGCGACATTAGCTCTGGTTCCTGGCCGGCCTTGCTTCAGCTAAGCAGTCCTGCTCGCGGAGCGGTAAGCGCAGTGCCTCGTGGTGACAGAGCTAAGGAGATGGAGATGAGCAAGGACAGACTGGTGGACAGACTAGCCAGCTGTGCGCTCGGGACCTCTGTGGATAAGGGGCGGGCGGAGTGGACGGCGGGAAAACGTTCCGGAACTGGAGGGGCGGGCCTGGGTGTGATTGACAGGCGAGAGACCAATACCTGGGGAAGGGCCGGCCAATGAAGGCGCCAGCTGCAGTTGAACTGGAGTGGTGGTATGAGTTGTTACTATGATAGCAGGTGACACGTGTCGGGGTCTTTAACTTGGCTCAGCGATGGCAAGCACTTTTCATAAATTGTCTTATTTAGAGGTCACTACAACAGCATGAGGGAGCACTGTTACCCATGTCTGTTTTACCTGTGCGGAAACTGAGGCTTAGAGATACTAACTTAAGCAAGGACACAGCTGGGATCCCAGATTTGGGAACCTCACCCTAGAGCCCATCCTGGTAACGGCTCTACAATTTTACTGGCCCTTAGAACTGGGAGTCAGGGCGGAGGAGGGTCCGGTAAAGAGGACTGGGATTAATGCAGTTGACCAGATTGTTGGCCGAAGTGTCAAAGCAGTGAACATAAATACGAATAAATAGTTGGGTGGGTCCTACACAGTGTGAGAGCTCAGAGGGTGGAGATGGGGGGCGGAGACAGGACAGAGCAAGGGGAGAAAGTGGGTGTTGTGGGCCATGCTGTCCGCCAGCTGGTGGAGCATGGCTGCACTGCAGCATGACGTGGCTCTGGATTAACAGCAGGTGCAGAAAGGTTTTTTCTTGAGGGCTGTGGTGTTCCCAGGTGTGCATTTTAGGAGCATAGCAGTATAGTACCTGGAACAGAGTTTCCTGGGTTGGCTGGGGGGAGCTGCCATAACAAAGTAACATAGACTGGGTGGCTTAGACGACAGAAATTTATTTTCTCACAGTCCTGGAGGATGGGAATTCCGAGATCAATGTGCTGGCAGATTCGGTTCCTGGTGAGGCCTCTTGTTGGCTTGCAGACGGCCACCTTGTATCTGTGTCCTCACATGGTGGACAGAGATCTCTTTTTCTTTCACTTATTATAAAGCCATCAATCTTATTAGCTTAGGGCTGCACCCTTGTAACTTCATTTAACCTTAATTACCTTCTTCAAGCCTTATCTTCAAATACAGGCACACTGGGAGTCAGGTCTTTACCACATGAATTTTGGTGGGGGGGACACAGTTCAATAAGTTAGGAGTAATAATTGGAACTGAAGAAAATGAACACTTTCAGAAATCACATGCACCTGAAGTGCTTTCTCAAATCTTTCCGGGTTTAATGGGCATGAGATGTGCTGTGCTGGTGTGCGCCTTAGCAGTGGAGCAGCGTTCTGGGGAGAACTTGGGTGGGAGGTCGTGGTTGTCTTCCACATAGCCACCCTGAAGAGAAAGTCGCACCACATGTCCATGATGGGGCTTAGCGAATCCATTATTCCCAGATTTATCTAAACTTTTCTTTCACTGTGGTGTAGCATGTGCTGCTACTGGAATAATGAGAGCCACCATCACCTCCCCCAGAGAAGTGAAATAGTAATTACTTTGTTCTGTATTGTTTCATTGTTGTCATTGTGGAGCTTGGCCTGCAGATATGGTCCTAATCCTGGGTTCAACCACCTGTTGAGTGACCTTGGGCAAGTCACTTAACTCTTGAGTCTCAGTTCCATTATCTATAAAACAGAGCTAAGAAAAATACTGAGCACACAGGGTTGTGAGGCCAACTGAAAACACTTTGAAACTATTAAAGAACTGGCCCCTCTACCCACACCAAGAACAGAAACCTCTACTACAGGCCCCATGTCTGGCTGGATATTCATTCATTCATTCATCAGATTTTTATTGAACACCTGCGAGGTGTTGAAGCACCTAGTTCTGAGTCCTGGGGCCAGGGAAGAACAAGCCAGACAAGGTCCACCCATTAGTGTAGCTTATATCCTAGTGCAGGAGACAGACAAAATGGGTCGGGTAGTGGTAAGAGGTATGAGGAAATGAAATACAGGGTAATGTGCGGAAAGAGTGACTGAAAGCACGGCGGGGGTGTGTGTGTGCCGGGGGGCGGGGCATGTTGGACCACTGTGGGGTGTCCCAATAGTGGGGGAGGCTTCTCTGAGGAGCGAGCTGAGTCCTAAACATCGAGGACTCGTCACTCCCCAGGCAGGGGGAACAGCAGGTGCAAGGCCCCGCTGATGAGAGCAGGCTGGTGCCCGACCAGTCTGCAGGCTGACAGGTGCTCTGTCTTAAAAGGAGAGAGATGCTGATCTGACTTTTCTCTTGGGATTTAGAACTAGAAGACATGAAAAGAATTTTCACCTGGCAGTGGGAGCTGAAGCTAGAAGGTAGAAGGGTGAACCTTTGGGGTAAGCAGAAACTCTGAGTCAGCTGAGGAAGTCAGTCAGGTTGTGGCTCCACCTGACTGAGCAGGAGAATGAAAATCGTTGGGTATTTAACTGTCAGTGAGGTTCCTAGAGCTGTCTTGAAATCCAGGCCCCCTTGCAGCTCTAGTCTGCAGGAAGTCCTGCCCTGTCACAGCTTCTGTTCTTGGTGTTCCCAGCTAGTCCTAATTCTTAATCTCTCACTATGTATCATTTCAGTTAACCTCCCTTTTACTTAGGCTGTTCTCTCTTGCACCCAGAAGAACGTCACTGAAACAGAGCCATGTGGACCTGGGTTTGAATCCCTGGTTTTCCTCTTGTTAGCTGTGACTTTGAGCAATTATTTAGTTTCTGTAAACACCAGAATCCAACAGCTGTATCCTTGTGTTGTGCAGATTAAAGGAGATCTTTTTCATTGTCCCTAAATTGTAACTGGAAGGGCATCATGGCAGCTACCTCCCCTCTCCTAAATGGATTGACACTGTCTCTGATCTTATCAAGGCCAGGGTAGTAAAGATGGATTTTAGATCTATTAATACTAATAAAATGGGTTTTAGACTTATTAACATTTGTCTTTAGTTGGTCCTCCCAAATAGCTTGGAGAAGTGGCTCAAAGAGAGAGGTGTGGGAACCAGATGGAAGAGTCAGGCCTCCAAACGGTGATTCAAGGAAGAAAGGGTAGGTAAAAGCCATCTCAGAGAAAGTTAGGTTCAGAAGAGGAGAAAAAAGATGACATAAACATGGAGCAGAGGTTCCTCGTAGACCTTGGTCTAGCAAGCAAAGAGAAATGTGGAGGTCTCAGTATTGGGAAGCTGTTCCAGCCAGAGCTCAGTGGCTGTGAAGAGAGCTCTCCAGTCTGGAGCCAAACAAGAAAGCTCTTATTTCTTGAGGACAGAGCAAGTATTAGGAGGTGGCTCTGGTTTGTACTAGAAGCAGGGGCTAGGATGAAGTGAGAAGCAAATGAAAGATACCCATAAGGTACTGACCTATATGCTCACTCGCACCATCCAAACCAGCTGTCCTCACTCTTCTCTGCCCGTGTGCCATGATCTTCCAGGTCTTCACGACAGGATAAAGTGAGGCAGCTGTGGCGTGCGAATGCTGCGTTGCAGAGTCGTGTGAGAAGGGTGCTACCAAAGTCCTCACATGCAACATCCTTGATCCCAGGGGCACGTGTCTTCAAGAGGACAGCTCTAAGCCTTTCATGGAGGCATTAGAAAGGTATTTAAGCAGTGGTGGAATGGCAGTAGAGATTCAGTTTTGGGGCTGTCTTAGGCTGCATTCTGCTGTAGCCATTAATTGTCCCTGGATGCATTGCTTGATTCTGGTGTGGCTTCATGTGGGCCTGAACAAGATGGAGAGAACATGTTCTCTGCTTGTAAGAAAATGTACAACCCAAGGAGACATTCTGTAACAAGTGTGGAGACTGTTCTTAGGTACTGCTCTAAATTTCAAGCCCCTTCTCCCTGGGTCATGAGGGAGCTACTATATTTATTTATTTTTCCTAGGACCATGGCTGATAGAACCCAGAAGATTCCTGGCATCCAATTTCCCTTTCCCTTCACGCCCTATTCCATCCAGAAAGACTTTATGGCAGAGCTGTACCAGGTTTTGGAGGCTGGCAAGATTGGGATATTTGAGAGTCCAACTGGCACTGTGAGTATGAACAGTGAGAGACCATGAGTAAGAAAACTCAGAGGCGGTCTTGCTCACTTTTACTAGTTGCCTATGCGGAGATTTTCATGGTTTGAAGTTTGTCAAAGTCGTGTGTCATTTTATCTTTCTGAGTAATAGTCACTTTGTCTATAAAAAGCGTTAAACAAAGCAGCAGGGTCTGAGAAAAATTATGCTCAATGCAGATGAGGATTTGAATGGCCTTGGAAGCCATGCCCCATAGCACTGAAACTTTCCAGATTTCTCTGGGTACATAACTGGTTTGATGATGAGAAAACACAGAAATTACTTTGGCTTTTTCACTGATTAAACATGTTGGTTCATGCCGAGACAGAGTCTCACTCTGTGGCTCCAGCTAGAGGCAGTAGCATCATCATAGCTCACTGTAACCTCAAAGTCCTGGGCTCAAGCGATCCTCTGGCCTCAGCCTCCCAGGTAGCTGGGACTACAAGTACAGGCCACCACATTCGACTCATTTTTTTTTTTTTTGGTAGACATGTGATCTTACTCTTGCTCAGGCCTCTAACTCCTGAGCTCAAGCAGTCCTCCCACCTCAGCCTTCCAGAGTGCTAGGATTACAGCTGTGAGCCATGGTGACCAGCCAAAACATTCTGTTTTAGTCCCCAGGAGCTGGGTTACTGAGCACTGGAGGGATCTGATCAAGTATCCCTTAGTTTGTCTTCCATGGCTGGGAACAAGGCATGTATTAGAGGTTGGCGGTTGAGGGAGTAGGGCTGTGGCAGTCCCCAGTGTCTCTCCTGCCCTTTGTTTATTACCCTTTATAGCCAACACTGCGTGATGGTAAAATGGTTGTGTTGCCATGAAGGGCCCCCAGCTAGGGTGGGACCTCCTAGAGGAGAAGGACCTGTGAGCCTTAGCAGGGGTTGGCAAGGTTGGCCCTTAGGAAGCTCTTAGTATGTGTGTGCTGAGTGAAGGAGTAAGAGAAAGCTACTCATCCCCTTTCTCTCACTTGCTTATGGGAGCGTGTCACTCTTTCTGGAGGTGATATAGGGATCTCTTGGGACAGGAAGAGTGCAGAGTGGTGTACTCTGTTGTTCCATTTTGCTCTCATATACAGTGAATGACAGACAGTAAGTCCTGCCAATTAACAAAGAGTGAGTCCTGAAAATGGTGTGCATGGTTTTCTTAGATAGCATTCTGTTAACATTCCTACCACTTAAAGCCAATGCCATTCCACTTCTTCCCCTACCAACCCAGTGAAATGTTGTTTTAGGTAGGATCAGTAGTGACTTTCTGATTTACAGATTTGGATATTTCAAGTCCTTACTTGACCACTTGCCACGTTTGGTATTTTTGAATATATTTGCCTTTTATTTTATTTTTTAATTTAATTTTTATTTTTTAGATGCAGGGTCATGCTCTGTTGCTCAGGATAGAGTGCAGTGGCCTCATCATAGTTCACTGTAACCTCAAACTCCTGGACTCAAGTGGTCCTCCTGCTTCAGCCTCCCAAGTAGCTAGGACTGTAGGCATGTGCCACCACTCTGGCTAACTTTTTATTTATTTATTTTTTGCTAGAGATGGGATCTGGCTGTGTTGCCCAGGCTGGTCTCAAACCCTTGGCCTCAAGTGATCCTCTCAAATCAGCCTCCCAAAGTGTTGGGATTACCGGCGTGAGCCACCGCGCCCGGCTGGGTCTGGCTTTTATTTATTCCTTTTTCTTGTTTTTATTGGCTACTGTATAGCTAATTCCCTTCTTTTCCTTTCCTACGGTGGTCTTAGAGCATCCTCTAACGTTTAAAGCCAGACCTCCTTCGAAGCCCTTACTAAAATGGGGACAGATCACTTGGGAAGTTTTATTTTTCCTTCTGTTTCTGAAGATCATTTTGCTTCCTGCAGGGAAAGTCCTTAAGTCTTATCTGTGGGGCCCTCTCGTGGCTCCGTGACTTTGAACAGAAGAAGCGTCAAGAAGAGGCACGTCTCCTGGAAACTGGCCCCTCTCGGGGTGAGAAGGACCCACCCCCACTTCTCTCATCTTCCTGCCGAGAGACCACAGACGCGCCGGGGCCTGCTGGAGAACCGGACTGGGTGACTGAGTTTGTGCAGAAGAAAGAAGAAAGGGATCTGGTGGACCGACTGAAGGTGGGATCTGGGGTATGAAGAAGGGCAGTGATGAAGGAAACGGCTTCTGCAATTACTTTGGGGCGACTGCGAGGCTCGGGGAGCTCGTGTTCGTCTTTGCCTGTGTGGTGCCTCCTCAGTCTCCCTCGGCTCTCCTGAGTCGATGGTGCGGCCCCTGTGCTGTTTCCAGCTGATGTCAGGAGGCCTCCACCAGAGAAGGGGTTGGCAGTTCCCAGTGGTTACTCAGGCGGGAAAGGAGAGTGACATTGTTGCCGCTGGCAGCGCGGTTCCGTGGCTGCAGACTCAGTTGAGGAATGGGTGTGACTGGGAGCAGGTGGCTTTGGGAGGGAGGATGCAGACTGCCCGCCGTGAGCAGTGAGGCTGGAGCCTGCGCAGGTTGAGGGTCCGGGGAGGGGAGGCCGCAGCAGCCTTGAGCCCTGGCCAGGAAGGAGAGCTGCGGTGTGCGGAGGTGTGGGCTGAGTAGCCCCAGATGCTTTAGGAAAGGCCGGGGGCTTCCTGCGTGAGTGTCCTCTATGGCTGCCTCGCCCTTCAGGAGGAGCAGATCCGGAGGAGGAAGCGAGAAGAACGCCTGCAGCGGATCCACCACAACTCGCAGCTCACGTGTGCAGCCAAGCGCCTGGTGAGCGTCATCTCAGGGAGGGGCTGGGGTCATGTCCAGGCAGTGTCACGCTGCGTGGAGACTCTGGGAGTGGCCGGGCTTGGTCTCCTCTTCCCGACCCCGGCTGGCTAAGTTCCCCTCACCCTGAAGCTGGGCAGTGTGAGTAGAGCCCGGATCCCAAGAGCCCGTCCCTTTTCCCATGGAGCGGTGAGGCCTGTGCTCGCGGGCACTCGCCCAGGCTGGCTCCGCCGGGGGTGGGCGCACCCATGCTGAGATGTCTCCCGCTTATCCACCTCCAAAACCCTGTCCAGAGACAGGAGGAAGAAGAAACCGAGAGTCTCCTGCGCCTCAGCAGGGAGATGCTGGCAGCAGGAACGGGGGCTGAGCAGCCGGAGCAGCTGGAGGCTGGGGAGGAGGAGCTGGTCCTGGCCGAATATGAGAGCGACGAGGAGAAAAGAACAGCTCGAGGGTGAGACAGCTGCTGCTGCTTCCTGCCCTGCCCTGGGTTGTGTGGGGGCTCCTGCCAGGGCAGCAATTTCCCTCCTGCCAGAGACACTCGTAGAGCACCGGTGAGAGGGAATGACAGCCACTGCCCCCTTTCTCTAAGCCACGCTCCTTCTTAGGACCATAAATGCTGGGCCAGTGACAGCCACCCTTCAGTCACTGGCCTCACGGCTGTTGACTCAGTTATCCTTGTGGCAGCCCAGTGATGGCAGAGTACAGGTGTCTGTGCTTCGTACACAAGGAAGCTGCGGCCCAGGGAGGGGACATGCCTTGGCCGAGGCCACAAGGCTAGTAAGTCGAGAGCCGGGACTGACGGCCAGCCAGGCTGGCTCTAGACCTCATGCCCTTAAATGCTGAACTGCACTGTGCAAGGTTCTGACGTAACCATCAAGGCGTCATCCTTAGCCTGAGTTTTGCTTTTCACCTTAAGGCTTCCATTGCTCCAGACTGCAGGTTTCTATTAATACCTTACGAGCCATAACATGCTGGGTGAATCAGAAAACACTGACCAGCAGGCCATTTCTGGATCACACGACCCCTTGTGAGAGCCCCCTTTCCATTCACACTTTAACCTCACCAGCGCCCTTCGGGCGTGTGCTCTGGGTGCGCATGTCCAGATGCTGTGGACGTAGAGGTGCATGAGGTGTGGCCCCTGCACTTCTGCACTCGGCGAGATCGCGTTTCTGTGGAGAGAGACAGATAATAAATCTGAAAACAAATAATGCCCATCTGAAAACACATTCGCCTACGAGGAGGAGAATGAAACGGGCAGTGGATGGGGTGTGGCTGCACCTCCAGGGGAGAGGTCAGGAAAGGCCCTCCCGGGAGCTGACTGTGAGCCGAGCCTGGAGGGCAAGCAGGAGCCGAGGGGGAGGAGAGAGTTCCAGACAGAGACCTGCCAGTGCAGTGGGTGCAAGCGGGGACAGGTGTGGTGTGTGAGGGGGCTGAAGGCCCAGGTGCCAGAGCAAAGGTGAAGGAGGGGGAGGGAGGAAGAAGATGCCAGAGAGGAAGCAGCTGGTGCATCTGTAGGCCCCAGAAGCCAGGGAAGGGCTGGATGTCGCTCTCATGCAGTGGGAGGCAGGGAGAGGCGAAGGAGTGACGTGATCTGATTTGCACACTAGAAAGGTCATTCTGGCTTCGAAGGTCGTGGCTTGTCCCCAAAGGCACAAGGGTTCCTACAGATTCTTCCCTCTTAGGCCCCCAGCTGGGGAGGGGTCTCTGCTGCTTCTCTAAAGGTGATGACATGTCCCATGTTTTCATTGGCACTGTGGTCACCATGTCTGTCTGGAGGGTGACTCTAGGGTCCGAAACTCTCCATTGACTCTTGTGAAGGATAATCCAGGCCCCTGTGACTTCACCTCCAGCCTCCCTCCACCAGACGCCAGCGTCCCAGCTGCCCTGGCCTTTCCTTAATGTGCCAGGCCTCCCCCGCCATATCCGAGGATTTGCACGTGCCCTTCCCTCTTGCCAGAACCCTTCCCTGCTCCCTTGACAAATGTCTTCATATCTTTTTTTTTTTTATTTCAGGGTACTATGAGGGTATAAACATTTTGGTTACATTTTATGTCTTCGCCTTACCCAAGCAAGGGTTAGAGGCATGCCCTTCCCCGCTACAATGCTCCCCATGTCCTTTAGTTGCGAGTTTACCCCCCCATCCCCCTAATCCCTGGAGAGTATTACTGCCATGTGAGCACCCTAGTGTTCATCAGTTAGTACCGATTTGATGGCGAGTACAAGTGGAGCCCATTCTTCCGATCTTGTGGTGCCTCACTTTGGATAATGGGCTTAGGTTTAATCCAGGAAAATATAAGAGGTGCTAGATCACTGTCGTTTCTTGTGATTGAGTAATATTCCGTTGTATACATATACCAAATTTTAATAATCCACTCATGAATTGACGGGCACTTGGGTTGTTTCCACATCCTTGCAGTAGTGAATTGTGCTGTCATAAACATTTGGGTGCAGATGTCTTTATTATAGAATGTCGTTTGCGTAGATGCCTAATAGTGCTATTGCTGGATCGAATGGTGTTTCTATTTTTAGCTCTTTGAGGTATCTCCAAATTCTTTTCCACAGAGGTTGCACTAATTTGCAGTCCCACCAGCAGTGTAAGAGTGTTCCTGTCTCTCCGCATCCTCGCCAGCATTTGTTGTTTTGGGATTTTTTGTTAGACACCGCTCTCACTGGGGTTAGGTGATAATCTCGTTGTGGTTGTGATTTGCATTTCTCTAATGATTAGAGATGTTGAGCATTTTTTTCTGTTTGCTGGCCATTATTCTGTCTTCTTTTGAAAAGTTTCTGTTCATTTCCTTTGCCCATTTGTTGATGGGATTGTTTGATTTTTTCTTGTTGATTTTTTTTAAGTTCTAGATAGATTCTTGTTATCAGCCCTTTATCGGATGTGTAGAGAGCTGTCTTCACCTCTTTTAAGGTGGCTCAGTTACTGTCCCGGTGGCCTCTGTGTCAGCCACTCTCTGCTTTGCTCATGGACCCATTTGTTATTTATTTATTTGTTATTTATTTATTGATTGACTGACTGACTGACAGAGTCTCACTGTGTTGCGCAGGCTAGAGTGCCGTGGCATCGGTGTAGCTTACAGCAACCTCAAACTCCTGGGCTCAAGCAATCCTACTGCCTCAGCCTCCCGAGTAGCTGTGACTACAGGCATGAGCCACCATGCCTGGCTGATTTTTTCTGTATATATTTTTAGTTGTCCAGCTAGTGTCTTTCTATTTTTTTCAGGAGAGACGGGGTCTTGCTCTTGCTCAGGCTGGTCTCGAACTCTTGAGCTCAAATGATCTGCCCACCTCGGCCTCCCAGAGTGCTAGGATTACAGGCGTGAGCCACCGTGCCCGGCCTCCATTTGTGTTTTAGCTGTTGTTTTCCCCTCCTCTCCCTGCTGGGCTGTGAGCTGCTTCAGGGCAGGATCCAAATCTTTTTAATTTCATATTTCCGGAGCTGACCTAGTGTTTGGCATTACGGTTTGCTCAATAGCCAGTTGACCTGAACCGACACCGCTAGTTTCAGTCCCGTGGTATAATTCCAGCTGAAGGGGCAGACTAAGGCACTGAGGATAGAAGAGGTTTTCCTGGTCATAAGTGATAGCATCTTTCATTCACTTCACCGGTTGGTTGTGGTTTCATCCAGGAAATGTGTGTGGGGTTCCTGCTGTGTGCCAGGCTCTGGGCGGGGGGGCCCTGGGGACTCCAAAGAAACGAAACAGACTTGGTTCCTGCCATTGTGGACATGATGGTCTGATGGGGGAGACAGACCAAGAGGAAGCGATTTTGTGATCATGGTATCTCCCCTGCCCGGTAAGTATGGGAAGCGATTTAGAACGAGACGAGTGTTAAGAAGAGCAGGTGCGGGTGCCATGGGTGTGTGTTGGACTGGCTGTGCCTACTGAGGAAAGTCAAGGAAGGCTCCTTGGAGGAGGCGATGTTTATGTCGTGATCTCAGACTTGACTGGGAGTTGGTGAGGTGGGGGAGAGAGCATTGCAGGCACAGGACAGCATGTCCGCAGGCCGGAGGTGTTGAGGAGCAAGTGTCTCCCGGGGATCGGAGCGGTGCAGCTCGCTGGAGGGAGGGCAAGCAGGGAAGAGCAGCTGCGATGGCTGCAGGTCGGATGCTGGAGCGAGGCTTCTAGCTTGTGGCTCGGGGTTGGGCTGCTGTGCCTCTTTCTCCTTTGCCTCCACATCTCCTGTGTCCACTGACCTGGAAGGCCGGAGTGGTGTTTGCCTGGGGGTGTCTCTGAACAAGCAGCACCTGCCGCTTTGGTGGCACCATTACTGGGATTGTGTTTCTCCTTTCTGGCCCAGAGCGCAAGCCCCAGTTCTGTCAGCTTGTGAGAAAAGGAATGGGGCTCTGTCTTTCTCAAGGGACACTGGATGTCCAGGGCTTGTCGTGGGGGCTTAGTAGATGCTCAAGAAATGGTGTTTAGCTGACCTGGGTGTGCTGAGGAAATACTCTTCTCTGTTCTCTCTCGTGCGCAGAGTGGATGAGGATGAGGATGACCTGGAGGAAGAACATGTGACTAAGGTGAGACCTGTGTCCTCAGGTGCTGCTGTGTCTGGGCCTGTGTCCTGGGCTCTCCACCCCAGGGGAGAGGGCCAGAGTTGCCCCAGCTGCTTCTTACCCTCCTATCGATCAAGGAGGGACTTCCAGCCTGTGGACTCTGTGGCTTCCCAGACTGAACCTGGTCCCTAGTTGCTCACCTGGCAGGCTGGGTCCTGGGGAGGCCGCTCCTGGGAGCGAGGCCTGGCTTGTTGCTCCAGGGCATTGAGGAGCAGCTGTTCTGGGCCGAGGTCTGGGGTGGTTCCTGCCTCGATGGGGTGGTGGTGCTGGTGGTGGGAGGTGTTGGGGAGGACAGGCAAAAGCGTCGCCCTTCCAGTCTCTCCCGGCACGTTGCTTCTCTTCTCTGCATTTCCATCTGCATGGAGTGCCGTGGGGTACATGTGGTCCGACCCTTCTCAAATTTACACGTTCTTGGTTTGATTCATGTAAGACTTTAGTTTTCTGTTGAAAGTAGATATTTTATCCCTGTTTTTCTCTTTTCTAAGCCTTAGAGCAGTAGGGAGAGAATATTCAGCTCAGCCTCCTCCTCTCTCTTTTGGGATGTGTGGAAACAGTCCTCCCCCGACACCCTCCCCAGGACGGTAGGAATCTTTGCCATGTTGAGAGTCACCACTCAGGGAAAATACACTTTCCTGAGATTGCCAGGCCCTCGCAGTAGTTGGATTAGAGGCTGAATGTGATGAGTAGAAGGAGTTACCTCTTGTGGTTATGCCCGTAAACTTCTGGAACTGCAGGAGACTCAGGGAGTCCCTGGGGCCCTTGTTAGACAAGACCCGACATGGGGTAGTCACCCTGCCTCAGGCTGTACATTTGTACCTGCTTTTCCCGTTCCCTCGGCCTCTTAGGCTGTGGCGTGCCTCTGTGTGCAGGCGTGTTAGAGTCCCCTCTTTGAAATGCCTTTCTTTTCCCCTGAGCAGATTTATTACTGCAGTCGGACACACTCCCAGCTGTCCCAGTTTGTGCACGAAGTACAGAAGAGCCCCTTTGGCAAGGGCATCCGGCTCGTCTCCCTCGGCTCTCGGCAGGTAAACAGGGGCAAGGTGTCTCGGCCCAGGTGCCATCCTGCTCCTTCCCCTGTGCCTTTGTCTTCCTCATCCAGGCCCAGAAAGGTGCTGGGTGTGAGGCCGGCTGCTCAGCCCCTTCCCTGGCCTGACTGGCAGGTGGTTGGAAGGAAGAGGAGAGGCAGGCTAGGCGGGTCCAGCTGGGTTGCTTGTGTGTCGCTTGGCACCACCGTCTCTTTGCCTCTTGTTTACTCCTGTCTTGTAGAACCTTTGTGTAAATGAAGACGTGAAGAGCCTGGGTTCCGTGCAGCTTATTAACGACCGCTGCATGGACATGCAGAGAAGCAAACACGGTAGTCGCTGGGACTCTGGAGCAGCCTCGTGCGGTCTGGGAGAGTGGCTGGAAGTGACCAAGGATATGGGGCCAGGGACTTGGGAAATAAAACCATAAGTATCTTGAGTGGGAGGAACGTCAGAGCAGACCCTGGTTCCTGCCTAAAGACGCTCTCCTTGGGAAAGGGAGTCCTGGCTTCTGGGCCAATGTCTAGTCCACACCCCTGGCTTGGAGGTGATTTTATAGGCTCTTTACGGAGAACATAAAGTCAAATCCCAGAGTGTCCTGATGACCACAGTAGTATTCAGAAGGGTTTTATACGCCCCACTCCCTGGAAATGGGTCTTAACATGACAGACCCATTCTTGGCCGCATAGACAGCTGTTGTCCTCTCTCTCTGCTCCCCTTGTGCCTGTGCCACCTTCAGAGAAGAGGAATGAAGCTGAGGAGGAGAAGCCAAAGAGGAGGAGGCAGGAGAAGAGGGCTTCCTGCCCCTTCTATACCTACGAGCAGATGCACCTCCTCCGGGACGAGATCCTGGCAGAGGTGAAGGACATTGAGCAGCTGGTGGCCATCGGGAAGGAGGCCCGGGCCTGTCCCTATTATGGGAGCCGGTTTGCCATTCCTGCAGCCCAGGTGAGGACTCTGGAGGGGAAGTAGCTCTGGGCTCTAACTGTGGCCTAGGCCATGGGGGAGTCCTCCTTACTCTGTAGTTTGGGAGAACGCCACACACCATGGTTAGACTGACAGCTACACCATGTGCTGACGGCACCTAACCCATTCTCCCCTAGTATGTGGGTCGGAGGGGGCCCGTGGATCCCTTGGTGGCTCTGGGCTGCAGGGCCAATTGGCATTACTGGGGGACAGCGGATAGGCGTCAGGAAAGATTGTGCATTCCTTGTGAAACCACAGCGAGAGCTGAGAGAGGTGCAACAAGGGCACCACGGCACATGACTGCATTTCCAAACGGCTTTTCGGAGTGACAGTCCCAGCTTGCACACCTGCCTGCAGCACATGAGAATACTGCTCTCCTTGGCCTGCCATATCTTTCAGCAGTTTTAGGAAAAGCTGCTAATTTGACAGATCAAAATGGTATCTTACTGTTACTTGGTGGGTATGATTGAACTGTTTTCTTGCTACTTCCTTAAGTGGACTTTGGACAGAGGATATCACTTATGGAGAATTCAGTGTAATCCAGTAGGTTTTAAAAGCTGCAGGGAACTGTGTTAGTAACCATTTCCACAGCAGCTAAGCGCTCAGCAGCGCACCACCGTGACTGAGTGTGTGGGTGCCCACAGAGTTGGAGGAGCATGTCCCGTCCCCACCGTCCGGTGCCCTCCCTCAGGTCTCTGCCTCGGAGCAAGATCAGTGCTGTAGCCATTTATGCACAAATACCATAAGATGGCCTGAAATTGTTGTGGCTTTCGATTTTTAAAGTGCCTTTCACCTTGTTTTGCCTGTCTGGTACTCCAGTGACATGGCTGCAGTCTACATACAGGGACCCTGGGGCCCAGAAAGGTTAAGGGATTCATCTGTTTTCTCACCGCGAGTGAAGGATGGAGCCAGTATTAACACCTGGGCACTGAGTTTCCAGTTTTCTGGCTTTTCATTTTGTAGATCAGTATTCTTTTAACTGGAAAATCTTTGTAACAACTTCTACTTAAGAATTTACAGGATGCTTGTATTTTTGTTACCCCTAACTCTGCTCCTTAACTCTCACGTGCGGTAGACTGTGTCAGGCCAGGATCAGAGAGGTTAGAAACTTCACCAGAGCCACACAGCTGGGAAGTAGCAGCTCTAGGAGTAGAAGCCAGCGCTGCTTTCTGGTGCACAGAGGCTTGACAGTGTTGGGAGGAAGCTTGGGGAACTCCGGGGCTACCTTTGGGGCACAGAGGCGGTGAAGCAGCAGGGTTCCAGTCTCCCCACCCCTGCCCTTGGTTCAGTCAGGGGTCACATCCGCTCCAGCTGATGGGTTTTGTACATTTGCACATAGAACTTCTGAGGAAAGGGGCGGGTGCTGCCAGCACAGGGCTGTGCAGAGCTCTCTCCTCAGTATCCCCACGCATAGAAGCCAGGAACTCAGAGTAGGGCTGGCTAGTCTGCCGTAGCCGCCCTGCTCAGGTGGCCACATCTCTCCTCCCAGCTGGTGGTGCTGCCCTACCAGATGCTGCTGCACGCGGCCACCCGGCAGGCGGCGGGCATCCGGCTGCAGGGCCAGGTGGTGATCATCGACGAGGCCCACAACCTGATCGACACCATCACGGGCATCCACAGTGCGGAGGTCAGTGGCTCCCAGGTAGGTTGGCCTCCCCTCCCGGGCCAGGGCCTGCCATGGGGCAAAGGGACATGGATCATTTCTCCCAATACCTGGGCTTGGAACTCCTCTGGACATGGCGCTTGGGAGAGGGTGTACTGAGTCAAGGTAGTGACTTGGAGGCTGACTGGGGCTTTCCAGCAAATCCCAGAAGTCCGAGGACCCAGGTCCAGCAAAAGGCTCGTCTCCTGCCCTTCACGTGCCCTTGTCATCCTGAGTCGCCTGGCCCAGGGCACTGCTAGCCAGTCCTCTGTAACCTGGGCTGATGGCCTGAGAGAAGCAGGAGTCCTCGTGTGGCTGGACCTCATTATTATCGATGTGGCTTTGAGGGGATTTAACTGAGGAATGCCCAAGACCTCTGCAGGCCACTATCGATCACCTGTGATGTGCCCTGCATGGCACTAGGTGTCTGCTCTTCAGGCTGCCTCTCCCATTGAGGGGGTCCTATTTACATCGGGAACTCGGAGATAGTTAAGCAACGTGCCTAGGATCACACAGCTCGTGAGTGTGGAGCCGGGCTCTGGTCATGAAACCCCCACGACATCCCACCACCTCTGCGGACCAGTGCCTGGGTTGGCCTTAGGCCAGGATGTGATGGTGACCTTGAACCATCACTCCTGGAGATGACAGGTCTTTTCCTAACTCGGTACAAACTAGAAGGGAGACTCCTCTCTGAGGGATTCAGCCTCTTGCTTTTCCCTGACCCAGAGTGGACACTTGAGCAGAACTTACCTTCCTTCCCCTCTGTCAGCTCCCACCAGCCTAAGGGCCTTTAAACCCATACCTTCTGTCTGCACCCAGCCCCGTCTCCTCAGCTGGACGCCTCCTGCGTGTCTGGGGCCAACGTCTCCTATGCATAATCTAAGATTCGCCGGCAGCCCTCGGCTGCTTGCCCGGAGCCTGGTCTGCCCCGACGCCCATCCATTCTCTGTGTTCTCTCCCCAGCTCTGCCAGGCGCATTCCCAGTTGCTCCAGTACATGGAACGATACGGGTGAGACACTGCCCTCTGAGGTGGAGGGGAGAATCCCTACACAGCCTCAGTGGCCCCTAAGTCGTCCTCTGAGAGGAAGCACGGGGGCTACCACCTCAGCCTGCACCTGCAGTGGGGTGGTGGGTCAGCATGCTGTTCACGTCCTGCGTCCGTCATGGTGTGCTCCTGCGCAGGCCTGGGATGCTGGGGACAGAGCTATGGGTGCTGAGGGCCTGGGGCCATAGCTTGTGAGCCTGTTGAGAGGCACCAGCTGCAGTCTCCAGGTGGGGCGGGGAGGGCACTGTGTCGTTGGGGCGTGGCCTCTTCACGTGCACCGCTCTCCCCTCAGGAAGCGTCTGAAGGCCAAGAACCTGATGTACATCAAACAGATCTTGTATGTGCTGGAGAAGTTAGTGGCCGTGCTGGGGGGTAAGAGAGCGCCCCCTCATGGTAATCCGGCCTGCAAAACTTGCTGGCTTTCTTTTTCCTTGGATGCCAGGCAGGACGCCTGGATTTTCTATGTCCTTAGGAATTGTCTTGGTCATTGATTGAGGAAATTCTGTTTCTTCATAGCTTAGTTGTCTGACCTGAGATCTTTCCTCAGAACTCTATTTGCCCATGTTCTGAGTCCTTTTTACCTCGCCAGACCCTACTCTGCCGGTGGAAGTAATGACACATCACAACATAAGCAGGGGACGTTTGTGTAACAGTTGAATAAAAGCTTTGGCATTTGCAGAGCACTTGCACGTGCACAGTGCTGTCTGCCGGTGCGAGGAGAGCAGCACGGGCATCTTAACCCTCCCGCCCAGACCAGCAGACTGCAGCTCGGTGGCGGCTGCTACAGGGCAGGAGCCTGCTGGGGAGACTGGACTCTGGCTCCAGCCCCCCCGCGGTGTGCGTTCTTCTGGGCCACACGCCCTCCCTGTGTCACGTGGCCCTTGGAAGGCTTCCGCAGAAGTGAAGGGCACAAAGCCCATGGGGTCTCCTGAGGGATCTGGTCTCGTGCTGGTGTCCTTCGCCTCCCCCTCTCCCTCGCCTCTGGCTCACCACATGGTCCTGCGTAAAGTGGCAGGGTCCGTTGGCTTGCCACCTGTCCCTGTCTCCTGGAGCAGGCGTCAAAAGAATGAACTCACAAGGCTTCGGTCCCACGCGCAGACATGTGGTCAGACTTGAGACTCCTGGACGCTCCTGCCCTCTCCGTGGGTTCCTTGTGTAAATGGCGAGAAGCAGAACGGCAGCTGATCGCATGAGTGCTCCTCCCACCTGAGGGTGCAGGGCGGGGGGGTGAGAAGATGGGGCGGTGGGGCCAGAGCCCCTCCCTCCTGACCTGTTGGGATTTTCTTTTCAGGGAACATTAAGCAAAATCCCAGCACGCAGAGCCTCCTGCAGAGAGGTGAGAGAGTCGCTGTCAGAGGGCCTGGGGCCGACCTGAGCCACTTCTGAGCTTTACTCTGGGACTGAAGCCCAGGGCTTCGTTTGTCTCCTCTCAGGGACGGAGCTGAAGACCATCAACGACTTCCTCTTTCAGAGCCAGATCGACAACATCAACCTGTTCAAGGTAGAGGTTTTTCTTCTTCATATGTTACCTATCAAATTTCCTCCTTCTCATCACCACCTGTGGGCAGAGTACTATGTTAAGATTAGGGAAGGAATGAAAAGCAAATTCCTTCAGTTGTCAAGCAGTGTAAGGTCTGGGGATCTAAAACATAGACATTTGTACTTACTTGACCGTTAAAGCAACGTCCTCACAAGAAAAAAGTAATCTTCATTCTAGGGCCGAGGGTTTGCAGGAATGGGTGAGAAATTTCGGTGCCTTCCTTTGTGCCTCACAGACACAGATGGGGACCACAGGTCCTCACCGCCCGACTCTCTCTTCTGTGTCCCCCTGGGCTACTGGACAGGAGCAGCAGGCTGATTTGGGGGCTGCACTGGGCGCGTACATGGCTGGGGCCGCGCTCTCCTCTTCCCACTCGGACCTTGGCTTTGTTCACAGCCTCAGACCTTTGCTCGCTCCAGGCCTGAGTGCCCAGTGCCACTTGATCCCAACCTAGTGACTCTAGGAACAGTGAGCACCTTTATGGATGGAGTACTGACTGTATTCCAGGCGGTGTGCCAGGTTCTGTGGCTCTGAGGTACTATGTCCTATTGCCAGTCACGAGCAGAGGAAACCAAGGCTCAGAGACGTCACCTTGGGAAGGTGATGTGCACGGGCCTCCCATGAGGGAGCTGATAGCGCCGGGCAGAGCTGGTGTCTGGGCCGGCCATGCTGACTTGGCCTTGCATTCTTTCCATCCTGCCTGCGTTCTCCCTTAAAACCAGCTTTCCCCTGATTTACCCATTTTGATCATTGTCTCTGCCATTGTCCCTGTCTGACAGGCCAGAAATCCAAACCATCTTTGATACCTTCCTCCCCTTTCCTGCCACACCCACACAGCTGCCAGGCCGGTAGCCTCACAGAGCTCTGAATTTCCCCTCTTCACCTGCTAGCGGCAACTCGAGCTCAGGCCGGTCTCCCTGTCACCGTCCTTCCACTCCCCTTGCTTCTGTCCTGTCCCCCTTCCATAGGCTTTATGAATTGCCATCTGGTGAGTGCCCACTGAGGGATGGCACTCTTCACAAAGCTCGACAGGCTCCAAAACCCTCATCTCTGCCTCCCACGCCGAGGTCTGGCAGGAAACTACACATACTGTGCACGCCAGTACACTGTTCCCCACTGTCCCTGAGCAGGCCCGGCCCACCTGCTTTATGCCTTTGCTCACAGTTCTCTTTTCCAACTCTTAATTCTTCCAGGCACAGCTTAGATGCTGTCCCATATAAGGAAAGCAGGGGGGACATAACTCTGAGCATCCTTAGAGAAAGTGGTGACAGTGTGTCCTCCCAGGGTGGAGGAAGGTGGTGGCCTTTTTGTAAATTTAGACGACAGCTTGCTTAGTGTGTGCACGTGCCGGCAGCTGGTTGGGTTTTGCAGGTGCAGCGGTACTGTGAGAAGAGCATGGTCAGCAGAAAGGTACCTGCTCCCTGTCTTGGGCCTGCCCTCAGGGAACTCCAGGGTCCCCTGGTTCCCTGGGCTCCTCGGTGCATAGTGGCCTTGCTGGGGTGGAGGGAGGTGGCCTGGCGGAGCCTCTGGTCCACCCGGTCTCCCTCCCTCCGCTGCTGCTCACGCCTCTCCACTGGGCTCTCTGTCCCGACCCAGCTCTTCGGCTTCACAGAAAGATACGGCTCGGTCCTCTCGTCCTCCCGGGAGCGGCCCAGGCTGGCTGGGTTTCAGCAGTTCCTGCAGAGCTTGCAGCCCGGCGTGACTGAGGGTGAGTCAGGAGGACGGCAGGGCTGAGCCAGCTACAGGCCCTGGGCAAGAGCATCCATTCCTCGTGTGTGGACCGGACTTCAGGGAGGCCTCCTCCCCCTCTCTGCTCTGTGTAGCCCCTGCAGCCCCTGTGGACGAGGGCCAGGCCAGGGCCCCCACTTCCCCACTGATGCACATTGAAGGCTTCCTCGCAGCTCTCACCACGGCCAACCAGGACGGCAGGATCATCCTGAGCCGCCAAGGTAAGTAGGTGCTTCCTGGCCAGGCTCTGTCCCGAAGCAGGAGCTAGCCTGGAGCCCGGGAGCCACAACACAAAAGGAGTCTGTCCGTCCATCCTGGCACCTTCCTGGGTTAGGAGGAAACAGGGCAGCCCCCTGTGAGCCAGGGCAAGCAGTGGAGATGGGCGGAGGGCACACAGGCGCTGGGAGGGCAGGGCCTCTCCGGCAAGGTTCCTAGGAACGCCCTGTGGCCTGGTGGTTAAGGTGATATGGGCTTTGGTTTGAGGCATGGTTCCATCACCTGCGAGCTGTGTGACTTGGACCAGTGTCTCTCTGAACCTCAGTGTCCCCATGTGAAAGGAGATGACAGAACTATCTACGTCAGAGGGATGGTTGTCCTGGAGGTTAAATGGATATAATTTAAAGAGAAAGTGCTGGCTCTTGAGCCTCATGCATGGAGCCCCTGGGGATCCCCTTGACTCTGACCCTGGAAGTCTGTGTGGGCCCGCACCCACCTCTCCCCACGTGTCACTGTCCTCTTTTCAGACAGCCTCAGTCAGAGCAGCCTCAAATTCTTGCTGCTGAATCCAGCCGTGCACTTTGCCCAGGTGGTGAAGGAGTGCCGGGCAGTGGTCATCGCGGGGGGCACCCTGCAGCCGGTAAGGACACCAGCCCCAGCTCTTGTGCCCCAGGTGTTGGGGTGGGGCAGGGACGAGGGAAGGACACATCATCAGGCCTCTTCCCTGTCCAGGTCCCCAAACCAGAAAAGGGGCCAGCTCGAGCAGGCCCAGTAGTGTCCACTAGGTGGCACCGGAGTGCCAGCTCACTGCCTGGCCCTTTAGGCTGGAGGGGGGAGGGGGGCAGCGGGCACCCCGCTCTGGACGCCCCAGCCAGGGGGTCAGGCTTCTCCAGAGAAAGCCAATGTGTGGTTCACACTCTCATGTAGGTGCCTCAGTGCTGTTCCCTTCCTGCGCCCACTGTCAACTTTCTTTCTCTTATAAATGGGTTTTAATGTGTAATTTTTAATGAAAGTACTATATTTTCCTTGTAGAAAGTAGAGATGAGCAAAAACAGGAAAAAAATAATTCCACCAACAAAAGGTTCATTTTGGTGTATAACAGTCTTTCTATGTAGAATTTTTACATATGTGCATATGTATTTTAAAACCCAGACAAAAATGGTGTTCTCTCTACATGCTGTTATTATGATTGGCTTTTTCACCAAGCACCAATGGGTCATAGACGCTTTTCCCTGTCAGAGAGTACGCATTTATTCCGCCATACTCCGGCTGCACTGTATTCCAGTTCTGCGTGTACACTGTATTTTATACACCCAGCCGTCTTTTGTTAGACACCTAGACCAAACAATACTGGGATAAATGAAACCAAATCCCTGCCTAGAAAAGGACTTGCTGGATGCTGTTCAGAATCGAAAAGAAGTGGTTTCCAGCCCCAGCTACCTGTAGCTTTTTTACTTTTATATTTCTTTGTGCATATAGATTCATAGATTTTTCATAGATTTTTATTCATTCAGTATGTTAAAGTTGCTTATGGTCATTGTTTTTCAGGCTCACGTTGTCTCAAACGTGACTGGTGAGAACCCCATCATACTACCTCTGGTCCTTTTGTGTTTTTTAGAGACAGGGTCTCACTCCATCACCCAGGCTGGAGTGCAGTGGTGCCATCCTACCTCAGCCTCCCAAGTAGCCAGGAGTATAGGTGTGTGCCACCATGCCAGGCTAATTTTTAAATTAATTTTTAATTAAATAAAAATTTTTAAATTAATTTTTTAATTTTGTGTAGAGATGGGGTCTCGCTATGTTGCCCAAGCTGGTCTTGAACTCCTGGTCTCAAACCAGCCTCCTGCCTCAGCCTCCCAAAGTGCTGGGATTATAGGCGTGGGCTATGGCACCTGGCCCTCTGGTCCTTTTGACTTGGCCCCGTCAGTCTTGCTTTCCAACACAACAGAATGTCCCAGGCTCGGCGTATATGTTCCTTGCTCAGAGCTGGACTCATTCATTTCTCCAAAGTGCCTTGGTTTCTTTTAATGGGGAATGATATTTAGAAATCTAGACCTGGGTGCTAGGGTGTTTGCAGTGCTTGTGGATTATGGCTGTTTATAGGGCATTTCAGTAGACAGACCCAGGAAATAGGTTTTTAAAAATTGTGAGTTGGCCGGGCGCAGTGGCTCACGCCTGTAATCCTAGCTCTCTGGGAGGCCGAGACGGGCGGATTGTTTGAGCTCAGGAGTTCAAAACCAGCCTGAGCAAGAGCGAGACCCTGTCTCTACTAAAAATAGAAAGAAATTAATCGGACAACTAAAAATATATAGAAAAAATTAGCCGGGCATGGTGGTGCATGCCTGTAGTCCAAGCTACTCGGGGCTTGAGCCCAGGAGTTTGAGGTTGCTGTGAGCTAGGCTAACGCCACGGCACTCTAGCCCGGGCAACACAGTGAGACTCTGTCTCAAAAAAAAAAAAATCGTGAGTCCATATTGACATAAATTATTGGATTTTTATTTAGAAATTTGACATTGTGTCTCTTTTTCTCTTAAGCTCAACATTTGGTTTCTTAAGTACGTTCATGTAATCTGCTGTATCCTGCAGTATACTATAAAATACTTTCAAAATTATAATACCAATATTATTTCTCACAATAAATCTGATTGAAGTTGCACTTCTTTGCATTTATTTTTGGCCCTTGGAGTATATTCCACTACAGATGGGTGGTCTCTAGGCTATGAAGTCACTTGAGATGAGCTTTTCTGTGTGTGTTCATGTTGCTAGTTCGATAGATAGCAGGCTGTTTTTGTTTCATTTTGTTTTCAACTTTAGAATTTGCTTTTTTCTTTTTTGACTTATATTCTTAAAAATATGTAAACATCTGTGTGGTTCAAAAGTCAAAACTATATAGAAAGGTACATTCAGGAAAGTGTCACTTCGATCCCTCTCCAGGCTCTTCCCTACCCCCTGCAGGTCATCAGTCTTACTAGCTACTGGTCTGCACTTCCACTATTCTTTTCCTTTAATACAAAAAGCAGCAGCTGTATGTCTTCATTTTTCCCTTTTTTATTTACACGAACGGCACCATGGTCAGCTGTTACTGGCGATCACTCCTGTCCCTGGCTGTGTGGTTCGGGCGGATGTAGCGCAGCTCCTCCGACCCGTGCCCTCCTCACAGGAAGTCTTGCTGTTCCAGGAAAAATCCTGGTGCACGTGTGGTTTGGTGTTTGGGGGCTGCGTCCTCTGGGTAGACTCGTAAATCTGGGATTCCTGGGTTATACAGGATATGTCTTAAATATTGTCCAGTTCCCCTTGGTGAGAATTGTACCCACCAGCAGTGGCTAAGGATGCCTGTTTCTCCAGGGTGCTTCAGCTGGGGGGGTGAGGGAGGAGGTTGCCAGTTTGGCAGGTGAAGCCGGGCAGATTCTCACTCAGTAGTTCTGCTGGGCCCGGCCATGTGTATTTTATAAATTCCCACTGGTGATTCTGATGCACAGCCCGGGTAGAGAATCGCACGTGTCCAATCTCCTTTACTGTTCCTGCAGGTAGTTTCAGTGAGACGGCCAGTGCTGGACACTGTTCACATTTCTTTCTTTTTGCAAGTTTGTTACCGTCCTTTTCTTTTACGGCTTTTTTCTGTTGGTGTGTACTTGAGCCTCTTAGCCCAGACTCCTGTCTTCTCTCTTCCCCACCCCTGGCCCCACTGAGGCCTGGGTTCTTTTCCGCTGGTCCTCGGGAGGTCACAGGCCTTGACGTTGTGGTCTGCAGGTGTCTGACTTCCGGGAGCAGCTGCTGGCCTGTGCTGGCGTAGAAGCTGAGCGAGTGGTGGAGTTTTCCTGTGGTGAGGAGCCGTGTCCGTGGCGGGACGAGCCGAGTATTCACACCCTGGTCCCTGTTGCATGAGTGTGACCACGTGCCATTCTCAGGCTGGGGCTGAGGAGACCCCAGGGTGGGAGCCTCACCCTGTCCTGGCTGTCTCGTGAGCTCAGCTCCCCTGCCCCGCCAACTCATGCCCAGTGCTACTGTGGCGATGGGGAGCGTGGGCGAGTGTCACCTGTCACAGCTCCTGGTCTGGAAGACGGTGGGGAAACGCCCTTGCCGGACTCCCCCTCGCAGAGCATCTGCAGCTCCGGGTTTCAGCCCCTCCCTGGGTCTCACCAGGTCACGTGATCCCTCCAGACAACATCCTGCCCATCGTCCTCTGCAGCGGCATCTCTGGCCAGCCGCTGGAATTCACGTTCCAGCGCAGGGAGCTGCCACAGATGGTGAGTCCCGGCCGGGGAGGGGGACTTCCTGGGTGGGGGCTGCTCTGGCCCATCCTGGGGCATCTGTCCCGGAGCCTACTCAGGGTGAGCAGTGTCTGTCTAGATGTTTATAAGGAAGGTCTGAGCTTGCCCCACCCCCAACCCATAGGCTGCTAAATATGTTTTCTGGAAACCTCCCACATCCCTTTAGCACACGGCGCACGAGAAAGCCGCTGGTCTCCTTTGGTTCTCTTCCCTTGGGTTCATCTGCCCCTGCCGTGGGCAGGGATGCAGGTCTTGGGGCCCATCTCCATGCCTGGGGTGTTCAGCGCCTGACCTGTCTTAGAGGGTGCCCACCAGGACACTGGGCGATGAAGAAGGGCCTCAGTGCCATGGCAACGGGAAGTCTCGTCTCTGGGGCGCTAGCACTGCCAGGGTCAGAAAGGCGGTCGGTCGCCAGAAGCAGCAGCTGGGTGTGGTGAGGGGACGGTGGCACATTCCACTGATTCCCACCCAGAGGAGCCACTGGGCAAAGTCCTCCTCCCTGGCTGTAGTCACACCGTGGGTCTCTGTCCTTGGTTTTGAACCCCAAGGTTAAGAAGCCATTTATGGGGGGACTTCAGGCCTGCTCCTTAGGGTTGCTCTTTGTCTTCCTTCCTCAGATGGATGAGGCAGGTCGCATTCTCTGTAACCTGTGCAACGTGGTTCCCGGAGGGGTGGTCTGTTTCTTCCCCTCCTACGAGTACCAGCGCCGTGTCCACGCCCACTGGGAGAAGAGTGGCCTGCTGGGCTGCCTGGCCGCCAGGAAGAAGGTGAGTGGCCCTTTGGCCGCACCTCCCGCTCGTGAGGACGGTGCCACCCAGAGCTCTTCCTGGGCCTTCCCACGCTCAGGGAGTGGGGGTGGTTGGGCTTCTCCCGGTTCCTCAGCCCCACGGCCCCCCTCCCTGACTACAGACGATTTCCCCAAAGCCCGTAGCTCTGTGAGGCTCTCTAGTCCCCCGGCTGGAACACACAGGGCCAGAAGCAGACCTGAGACCCAGCGTTCTGGACCCATCTCTGGGAGACATTCTCTGCTTCCAGATTTTCCAGGAACCCAAGAGTGCAAACCAGGTGGAGCAGGTGCTGACGGAGTATTCCAAGTGCATTGAGGTGAGAGGGTCACTCTGAGGCTTGGGTCCGGAGACCACCTGGGATTGATAGGTGGAAACATTTCTGGTGACATCCAAGCAAGCTGTGGCTCAGCAGCCCTGGGCTGGGTCTGTCCCGCAGCGCTGTGGCCAGGCAAAAGGCCGGGTGACAGGGGCCCTGCTCCTCTCTGTGGTTGGAGGAAAGATGAGTGAAGGGATCAACTTCTCTGACAACCTAGGCCGGTAAGTAGTGGTCCCTGCTCATCTCCTGGGGCTGCGGTACCCGGCGCCCTACGCTCCAGGCCACTGGGCCCCTGCCTGCGATCTGCTGCCATCCGAGTCTGCCGCCAGGCTGTGCCTGCTCAGGGTGCCTCAGCGGTGGGGGGAGTGTTTCAGCAACGTGATCTGGCCCTTGGAGAGCAGGTGGGAAATTAGGCCATAACTTTCCCAGGACTCTGTTCATTGTAGACTGGATCT